CATTCCACTTTGGAAAACACTAACGGGGAGACATTCTTCCCATTATGCCTATAGATCCATCCCCGCTATAGATCTGAGCTGCTGTCCTACCTGACCCTAGGTTATAGAATCTATGATACTCCTAAGAATTTGGGGCTGCAGTGAAAATAGTTAATTCTCACTGTCATGAATACCTAAATCAATCAAGTCTTTGTAGTAAGCTTAAAAAAAAAAAGTTGACTGAGGCATAATTTATCTACCATAAAATTCACCTGTATAATGTATACAATTCAGTGGGCTTTAGCATATGTAATACAAAATTTAAGACAAATTATTTCAACAGGAAATAAATAAGTTTATTCTTAAGAAATTGGGGCACCTGGCTGGCTTGGTCAGTGTAATGGCAGCTCTTGATCTCAGAGTCATGAGTTCAAGCCCCACATTGGATGTAGAGATTACTTAAAAATAAAAAATCTTTTTAAAAAATAAAATTATATTTATTGAGCCTTTACTACATGCAAAGCACTGTTTACTATGTGCGAGCACCTTTTTTTGGTAGGGTCATTTAACCTTTCTAACAATCTCATAAGATAACCATTCTTCCCATTTTATAGATTAAGTAACTGAAACACAGAGAGGTTAAGTAACTTTCCCAGAATCACACTGCTAGCAAGTGGCAGAGCTGAGATTCAAACTCAGACATTCTGGCTCCTGAGGCCTCTCTTTAACTGCTATGTTATACTGCCTGCAATGGGCAGTATAGTGATACAGTGTGATGATAGTTCCTAAAGGAGATATTTCATAAAATATTTCACCTTTGGCAGAGATTTTGGCCAGATTTTCGTCCTGAAATAAATTATGTAAGAATGCATTTATTCTTTAAAAATTTTGTACCCTAAAATCATATTTAAGCCAAAATCCTATACTAAGTTTATTTAAAATGTTTGTATCTTTATCATGTTTTCATTTTTAATGTGTTCTTTAAAAAGTTATTTTTTTTCTTTTATTGTTACTCCATTTCAAGTCTTAGTGATATATGTAATTGAAACTAAGACTCATGGTTTTACTGTACTTCAGATTTTTATTCTCTGCCTTCAAGTCTGAAATATGCCATTACAGGTCTTCTTGAATCCTCCCCCCCCCCCCCTTTTTTGTCCTCTCTGTGTATTCCTAACAGCTGAATTATTTTCTTTTTATTGTTTGTTTTCTTTTTTCAGCAATGCGGCCACTTAGCATGTCTTACAGTTTTGACTTGTCAGGTAAAAAACAAAACAAAACAAAACACTTTCACACCTGATGTGGGTTTTGTGGTTTCTGTGAAATACATTTCATTCATCTGCTTGTCCATACATGTCAAAGAAGAAAATTGAAAGGCTTCTTCTAAGCTGTGGTCAGTAAGATAAAAAATTCTGCTTATTTGAAAACAATATACTTAAAAAAATTAAAACTATAATAATAAATCTGTTGCCTACCAAGGGATTATAGAAGAACCATTACACAATCCTTGTGGTTATGAAATCTGGCTGACCATCCTTAGGGTTACTGTCTTTCACCCATACTCTTCTGAAGCAATGACGGCAAAATCTAAAACAGAACTTTGCCTTAAGAGAATAGAAAAGATTTTCAAGAAATGAAGTTTTGACACTAACTACTCTAAAGCACATTCAGTTATGTAAGTAATTAGACTCAAAGCTGTCAGCTATTTCAGAAGACCACTGATAGGCAAGAACTGTCCTTTGTGTCCCTGTGCTCCCTGTGGATAGAGCCTAATCATGAATCACTCTGAGTGCTGATTGAGAGCATAAAAATGCAGATGTGTTTAATGTTTTCAGTTGTAAAATACAGTTGACCCTGAACAACATGAGTTTGAACTGCTCAGGTCCACTTGTGGGAAGATTTTTTTATGCAAGAGGTGACAGGAGAAGATACAGGGATTTATTTACAGGTGCCTCCCACCCCTACTCTCCCCTCCCCTCCTGCTTCATAGGACCCAATGGACTGAGGCAATGAGCAGAGCTGCAGGGTGGTCAGCGTCTGCACCCAGAGCTGGGGGTCAGGATGCTGAGTTGAAGCAAGGAAATGTACCCAGAGGGCGGGATGGTGCTCCTCCACCTACCCATCACCCCTGGCCCCCGAGGCTCAGGCTGTGCTGGCCGGCTGCTGCAAAGCCTGGGGCCACCCCCTCCCTTCCCACTCATGACTGGCCACAGCTGCCAATGGCCGTCGGTTGGTGGGGCACTTATAGGCAGATGGGACAGCTCTACTGTACCCCCAGGCCACTGTGGCTGCCCACCCGCCAGGCGGCTGCCTCTGCTAAGGCTGCGGAATATGTCTTCATGGGACCAGGCTCACTGCCACCTCCAGCCTGGCTTGACCTGCCTATACACGGATTTTCTTCAGCAAATATGCATATAGTACTGTAAATGCATTTTCTCATCCTTATGATTTTCTTAATATTTTCTTTTCTCTAAAAAAATTTGTTTCTTTTCTCTAGCTTTAAGAATACTCTGTGTGTGTGTGTGTGTGTTTGTTACATATAACATATAAAATATGTTAATTGACTGTTTATATTATCAGTAAAGTTTCCAGTCAATAGTACACTTAATTAGCAGTTAAGTTTTGGTGCAGGGGGGGATCAAAAGTTATTTGCAGATTTTCTACTGGGGTGGAGCTCTGCACCCCTAATCCCTGCCTTGTTCAAGAGTCAACTGTGTAATTATTGTATTCTGGGTTTGTAGTACAAGTTTAGTTCCCTGCTGTTAAATAGACAGGGATTAAGAGTGAAACAAGTAACCATTAATGACTAAATTTGATGCCTTAAAACCAGCCCCTTTTTAAGTTGGGTTTTTAAAAATATATGTGAGTGACTATTCAAAGCCAACTTAATCCCAATAAAATATTTGCAAGTTAGAATTTTTCATTTTGGATGCTGCTGTTTTGAGTATAAAATGAGATAGTGGCATTAATATTTTCTTCCAGAGTTTTCTTAGATTTGCTCTAGAATTGTTGGCATACCTTATATACAAATTCATATTTAAAGAGCCAGAGAGTTCTAGTATCATATTCTGTTTATTAATATTTACGGAGTATCTTCCAACTGCTAAGCTAGTTCCCAGCTGTTTTTTAAATTTCTAATTATATTTGTAGGTCTCAGGCATCACTATTATTTATGCTTTTAAAAAACTCAGATAAATATTTTATAATCTTCATTTACTACTTTTGACTGACCACTGAAGAGCTTTTTCTATTTTCTTTATTCATTTGAAATTTTTTATTTTATCAACCATTTGCAGAATGCAGAGTAAATGCTGTAAAAGAGAAAAAGAAAAACCTTGTAAAAATTTTGATCTGGAAAAGAAACCCAGAAATGTTTTGGTACATAACTTGTTATTGATAATCTCCAAAAGTTAGCAGTATATATTATAGAGACTATGTCTCTTTTTCTGGAGATGTTTCTATCAGTTGGACTCTGAGGGAATGGCTGGCTACCTAAACATATTTACTATTAGCTAACATAAATTAGGCTGATCTGGAAAGTATGCATGCCCACACACATATATATTGTTATAGGTAATATGGTGGCTTCTGATTTGGGAAGAAAGCTCTTAACCTCTATAATGTAAAAGAGTAGCAAAAAATTTTATTTGCTTTCAACTGCTTATCATTTTGCCGCTTTAGTGTGCTTCATGATTTCTACATGCTTCATTCTTGATTTCTTGTGCTAGCTACTTTTGTTTGCATTGTTGCATTTTGACTAATCAATTAAGATGTCCCTAGTTACAAATGGAAAAAGATCGATCCATTCTTTTAACCTAAATGCAAAGAATGGACTATAATTCTTCTCTAAGTTGGAAAATTAACACACTAAGGAGTAAATATTTAAGTATGTAGTATAGATAATGCCCCTGAACTTAAGTATAAAATAAGACATAATGAAGTATATTCTGCTGCTTATGTATGTCTTAGAAATATTAATACTTAGTGGAAAATCATAACAATCCATTCAACATTAATTAAGGTAAGTGTAATTTATTTTTGCAATGCAAACATGTATAATCTGTATCACAGTCCTATTTCCTCCCACTAAATAAGTCAGCAGTTGGGTGTATCTGACACACATGAATTTATTACATAAAGTATTTAATATCGTGGTTATGCATTTTAGATTCTAAACATGAGGTATGTGACTTCTAAAACCATAATCAAACTACTTACAAGTTTCTCTTAAAAATATGTTCAACTGGGTCTTTTACAAATATGTAGTAGTATGAGATAAAATCACACACAGTATTTGTCTTCTATGTGGAGATCATCTTGAAACTTGTTACATATTTTTTTTATCAATCCCATTTATCTCAAAGCTTTGAATTCAATACAGGTGTTTATTTCAGTAGGTTAGTGAATGAGCTCAAATATAGTTATCAATCTCATGGTAGTGTTTAGGCAAGTAGAGAACTATTGAGGTAATTTCTCAAGTGTCCTGCATTGAGAATGAAATGAACTCATGGCAGCCACTGTCACTTAGCAGTATTCCCTAAACTTCAGATCAGATGCCACCCTCACTATTTTTGCCAGGCTTTAAGTACCACCAGTATTATTTAAATTGCTTTAATCTATCATCAATGACTCATTAAAAATTCTTAAGCAAAAACACCCATAAAGCCACATATTCGATTTATTTTTCCTGAAGCATTAACATAAATACATAACCATTAAAACTTTCAGTGTTCCTCCATGCACTACTAGTGGTCTCACCCTTGGGGAAGCTCCGACTTGAAGGACTGGAAATGTGAGACCCACCTCAGAAAGCTGAATATCTCTCTTCTCACGGTACCTGCAGTGGGGGCGCCTCAGTTGGAATCTGAGCAGCTAGGAGGGGACAAAGATGTGTGCGTTTTAACTCCATACTTTCTATTGAAAGCCTCACTACTATAACAACTTGAGAAATTCTATAGGTAGTGTATAAAATAAGATACACTATAGAATAAGATCTTTTAAAATATGTTCAAGACCATATTTGAACACTACCTTTTTTCTTAAAGAATAGGATTTATCAGTTAGCCTGATCATTTCCTCTTTTGCTTTCTGGAAAACTTTTAATTATACTCTTAAGTGTGGCAGCCTACTGCTCTCTGCAACTCCGTAGGAAAGATTTATTTAAAGATTTCAACCTTTGGGGTGCCTGGGTGGCGCAGTCGGTTAAGCGTCCGACTTCAGCCAGGTCACGATCTCGCGGTCCGGAGTTTGAGCCCCGCGTCGGGCTCTGGGCTGGTGGCTCGGAGCCTGGAGCCTGTTTCTGATTCTGTGTCTCCCTCTCTCTCTGCCCCTCCCCTGTTCATGCTCTGTCTCTCTCTGTCCCAAAAATAAATAAATGTTGAAAAAAATTTAAAAAAAAAAGATTTCAACCTTTAAATTTGTATAAAAACTTGCTGCTTTTGCCCTTTTGTCCCCTTCACTGCAGCCCCTTACCTAGTTATGTTTTTGCTCCAGCTGCCTAACATCTGGAAAGATAACACGAAGATGAACACATGTGTTGTCAAGTTTTCCATTAAGAATTTAATGTAAAATAAACAATTGACGGACAGATCTGTCTTCCTTTTCTTCCTTTCCTCCCTCCTTCCTTGCTTACTCATACCCTTTCTTCTCATTCACAAGGACATGTGCTCTGACCTTCATCTCTAAAAGTAAGCAGAAATTGTAAATATTAAACTAGATACATATTATTGATAATAATTTATGACTTGTAAATACTGTTAAGGAAGGCTGTACTAGAACACACTTATTCACTGAATGTATCCTGGAAATCCACCACTTATACTTAAAGCATGTAAATATTGTATGTTGGGAGGGAAACTACTATATTTTATAATAACTGCAGTTACAGTGCTTTCCCTCTTAAAGGAGCTTTAATCATTGTGTCTTCTTCACTTTCATGCTTAGTGTACCCTTACCTTCAACCACAGGAGTTTCACAGACTGTCCCTGTGCAGAGATCAGTTTCATGTTGTTTGTCTGTAAAATAGATGTGCAGTGACTGCTTTTTTTCATTTTTAAGTGATTTAATTTAATAGTTATTAAACTCAGTCTGTGTTTAACACTTCATTTGAAATACCAAAGAAAATTAGTTCCACTTGCATTAGTCCCACAGGATACCAGGAGAAAAAGGCAGCCTTGAGAATTAATAATACTAACAAGGAATCAACTGTGCGACTGGTCAGAAGGTCAGAGCACATGTCCTTGTGACTGAGAAGAAAAGGGATGAGTAAGCAAGGAAGGAGGGAGGAAAGGAAGAAAAGGAAGATCTGTCCATCAATTGTTTATTTTACATTAAATTATTAATGGAAAACTTGACAACACAATAGCTGTGTGACTGGCTAAGTCACTCTGAGCCTTAACTTTCCTGCTAATGGAGATAAAAATCAGTGTTAGTAATTCCCAACATTTACTGTGTGTTACCAGTATTACAAACAGTAGTATTTTATATGCAATTGTTAATCTTCAAAATGAGCTCATGTCTGTTGTTAGTTAGGCCCATTTTACAGATGATGAAACAAGAGGTTAAGTAACTTGCTCACAGACAACTAGCAGCAGAATTAGACTTTGAACCTAAATCATCTGCATCTTACTATATTATATACTCTGTACTCTATATTCTGTACTCTGTATACTGTATAACCTGTCCTCTATACTATGCACTCAGTACTCTTATTCTGTACTTGTACTCTATGCTTTGTGCTCTCTAGGCTGTACTCGGTAATATATATTCTGTACTCTGCTCTATACTATATACTTAACTATATATACTATATTCTCTGTATATATTCTATAGTCTCTATGCTCTGTAGTGTGTACTCTGTGCTCTATACTCTATATGCTCTGTGCTCTATACTATATGCTGTATGCTCTTTACTCTCTATACTATATATACTGCTATATATACTCTATACTCTATATACTCTATGCCCTGTACTCTACACTATATATTTCTGTGCCCTGTACTCTATACTGTATACTCTATATACTCTGTGCTCTATACTCTACACTATATTCTCTCTATATTCTGTGCCCTCTACTCCATACTGTATATGCTATGTGCTCTATGCTCTGTACTCTTTATATTCTGTAGTCTGTACTCTGTATTCTATATAATATATACTCTGTACTCTATGTACTCTCTGTACTACTCTAGACTCTTCTCTGTACTACATACTATACTCGCTGTACTCTCCTCTGTACTAAATACTCTATATACTGTGGCCTTTAATATTTTATTGTCACATGTGGCATCCACACTTGTTACTTACATTAGATGATTTTTGACTTGGACATAAAAGCCAAGCCATTTATTTATATTATGTTTTCAATCCAAAGAACATGTATACTTTTGTACTATATAAGAAACTGTAACTTGTACTGATTGCACTTGCCTGCCATGGTTTGGATAGATTTTTTGCATGGCTTTTTTTCTTTTCTAATGGATGCTGTCCTATGATGCTTCTAAGCCTGTTCATGGGTATGTATCAGATGTCTTCTTTGCCTGTAAGCTTCCATCCTTAGGTATTTCTAATGTTTGTTTTTCTCTGTATACTTCCATACATAGCTATGCACTATGAAAAATTGAGTGAATGATATGTATATTCAAAATAAAGCCTATTTCACTTTTAAAAAATGTACTCTAAACCCTGTACTGTATACTATATACTCTATGCTCTGTAGTCTCTATACTCTACTCTGTAGTCTATACTGTGTACTGCATACTCTATATACACCCTGCTCTGTACTCTCTATACTACTCTGTGCTCCATAGTCTGTACTTTATACTATATACCCCATGCTCTGTACTCTGTACTATATATTCTATGCTCTGTACTCTGTATACTGTATATTCTGTGCTGCCACATGTCTTTAATCTGTTGTATCATCTTCCCACCCAGATTCGAGCTCTAAATAATCTAAATCATAAATCAGCTTTATCAGAAGGAATGTATCCTAGATTCTTTGTGATCATGTTTATATGAATTAGATTATTCACTATTTTGATTTTTAAATTAAACCATTTTCAAATAGTTGAGCCATATGGCTGCTTTGGCTTTGTGTATGCCACCACTGTGGCCCATCTATCACTAGCTTTTTGGACTATGAAGTAAAACTAACATCTCTTGAGGATACAGAAGTTAAAGTCAGTTATCTATAGGATTCCTTCTGGCTCTAAATTCTAATGTATAAATGTGAATATAATTATTCATTTAAAGGTTTTCTTTAATTGAATCTGACAGATAATATCTAACAAAAATGTTTTATATACGCAGGCATTATTGTATCAAGCCTCTGTGTTGTATTTGTGTGACATGGAAATGCCATGTCACCTAATGTGTGCTACCAAGTGCAGGCAGGTACTTAGAAAAGTGCATTCAGCCTACTAATTACCTTTCTTAGCTTGAGAAAAGAAAGGTAAGCTTTCGCCTTTCTTTCACCAGATGTAACTACTCCCGAATCTCCAAAGAACGTTGTGGAATCATCAATGGTGAATGGAGGTTTAACATCACAAACAAAAGAAAATGGGTTGCACGCTGCACAGCAGGTGCCTGTGCAGCGGAAGAAGCTCCTCAAAGCCCCAACTCTGGCTGAACTGGACAGCTCAGACTCTGAGGTGAGTCCCATTAGGTCCTGGCTCTCAAATCTTGATTCCATGTTCAGAATGCCAGCCCTCTCTGACCTAGTTTACTAATCACGTTGCCTTAGTTGTTGCTTGATCCCTTCCTGTTTTTCAATCAATAAAGTTGGGACTGAAATTCATTTGTTTGGCAGGAAGTGAAACAGTGGATTACTTACTGTTTTTCGGTAAAGACCAGTATAGTGGCCATAGTTTATAGAATAAGTTCTGAAATATTCACATGGTCTTAGATTATAGTGCTATTAAAATAAGAAAAAAAAAAAAGATGCAAACATAGTATCTTCATTACGTTTCCCTTCATTCTGGGAAGGAAAAAAGAAAAATATATTTCCATGGATTCTTCTCTTTCTTCCCCTCTCTCTCTCTCTCTCTCTCTCTCTCTCACACACACACACACACACACCTACCCATAGTGAAGCTCGTTCTTTCTGTAATAATACTAATAGACAGGTCTGCAAAAGAAAACTCTGCTAAGGTTATCCAGATTTCATCTTTCTCCTACTGCCCTTTGGAGGAAGATCTCATGTCCTCCCTGTTTTCCAGAAAAAAATCAGGATGCTTCCCAATTCTCTCTCAAGCCTTTGTCTGCAGCATCAATGTTGTGTATCTCCACTGTATAAAATGAAATTACATGCTTGCCTCCCTCTTCCCTCAGGCCCTGCCAGACAAACAACACACACACACAGCCAGCTTCTCATCTTCTGTTTGCTGTTGTGGTTGCTGGCTCCATCCACTCCATGTTCATCCAAGTTAGAATTAAGGAATTATTCTTTAATTGCCCAGACCTGTCTCTGAGACAGTTCTGGGAGCCTTCAGTGACAGTGCCACCCTTGAGCAAAGCAGCAGTAAAGGAGCAGCAGGAATTCTAGAAGTGACGTTGTTCCAACCAGCACGTATGATTAAGAGCCTACTGGTCAGGATGTAGAACTAGAAAAGGCCTAGTTTAGTGAGTGACTAGTAACTGCATCGGACAATACAAGCAAGCAAGTTTTAGAAAGCAGGCCTGGCAATAGAAAAGACTGGTGTTTCAAAGAATAGAGGCCATCAGGATCCCCCAGCCAGGTACAAAGTGCTTAGTTGGGGGAATGGGCACCACAGGGCAAGCTGAGCCAGATTCTACACCCACATCCTCTTGCTCAGATCCGACCTCCAAGTCCCCTGGCCTCTTCTGGGCATCTTTGTGATTCCTCTGGGCTGGGAACTAATCTTAATGAAGATTAGTTTTTAAATAGTGAGAGATTGGGTCCAGCTGCATGTGGTCGGCAAGCAGGGGCAGAGGACCATCAACAGCTTTTGAGAGAAAATCCTAAAAGGACTTGAACCATGCCATTGCCCCCACCACTTCTCTCTCTCCTGCTGACTGACTTACAGTCACCTGACTGCCCCAGAACAGGTTCTTGGTTCTTCCCAGTAGAAGCAAGTGGAATCAGTAAAGAGTGGTGTAGAAGGGGTGGACATTCTCAGTTCTGTAAAACTGAACTCTAAAAATGTTTCTGGGGGGCTCCAGGGTGGCTCAGTTGGTTGAGCATCTGACTTCAGTTCAGGTCATGATCTCACAGTTCGTGATTTCGAGCCCTGCATCGGGCTCTGTGCTGACAGCTCAGAGCCTGGAGCCTGCTTCAGATTCTGTGTCTCCCTCTTTGCCCCTTCCCTGCTCATGCTCTGTCTCTCAAAAATGAATAAATGTTAAAAAAAAAAAAAATGTTTCTGGGGAAGGTGGGCTAACATATGTGAGGCTCGCGGATGGTTTCTGCTATTTAAATCTAGGTAGCACCCACTTCATAATTTTTTGGGAGTACTGTGTATATGGCCCCTTTTTTCTTTTCCTAAGAGATACTCTTGGCATTTATTTCCCTTTGACCCTCCATAAGCAGAAGGAGGTCGTTCTAGTTGCTTGCTAGCTTTTCTGGAGATTTGTGTGACCTTTACACCATGTCTGGGGTTGAAACTTTGGTTACATTGCTTGATTTGTTCTTCATGGTATGTACCAAGAGTGTGGAAATCACTGTTCAAACCTTCTTCGTTTGAACTGTGTGATTTATACAGCCTTTTTTCATCCCATGTTCTTTGACCAGATCCTTTGTATTGTAGCTTGTTTGAAACCACAGCTTTCAACATTAGGTTTTAGGTGAGGCCATTTTTTATGAATGGCTAATTCTTTTTTTTTTTTTTTAATTTTTTTTTTTAATGTTTATTTATTTTTGAGACAGAGAGAGACAGAGCATGAGTGGGGGAGGGTCAGAGAGAGAGGGAGACACAGAATCTGAAACAAGCTCCAGGCTCTGAGCTGTCAGCACAGAGCCTGACGCAGGGCTTGAACCCACGAACCGTGAGATCATGACCTGAGCGAAGTCGGAAGCTCAACCGACTGAGCCACCCAGGCGCCCCATGAATG